AGTGAACGACTTAGACATTCTGCAAGGTCTTGCTAAGGGGCTGGAACCCTCAGCCAGGCCTACGCTTTGCAGATTGATTTTCCTTGATGTTCTGGATCCCAAGAGCAGCTCCTGTTCGCAGACGCAGCCCTTCTTCCCTGGGAAGAATCACTTGGTCATTTTCAGTGTCACACGCAGCCCCTTGCTGGGGCCTCTGTGGGTCCTGATCAAATTGTGGGCGGAGCTTTGTGTATCTGCCCTTGCCTGCAGGGCTGTTTGCTATCCTGACTTCCACAAGCCATTTCAGGAGCCAGCTTTTCCTCCCATCAGGGATGCTTCTCTCCTTTCATCTCCTCTCCCCACATCCCCACTCCCCTGACTACCGCCCCCTTAGTTCGCCCTGCCTTGGCCTCTTCGGCTGGCTGGCTGATTATTCTGGATCCCGCTGACACAGGTGCTTTCTCCCCGAACCAATCCGGGAGCAGGAAGGCTCAGCGCAGCGAGCAGAGGCATTGCTCACCGCAGCTGTGAGTTAGAACCCAGGCTTTCTAAATTGGGAGGATCGGGCACGACTTGGGGTTGGGCTGAGAAAACCTCACCTCCCCCTGCCTGGACTACCTTTGACTTCTGCCTGGGGCAAGGCATCTGCTCCCGTGCCGAGAGCCCAGAACCCCATCTTTGTGTCTGCATGCCAGCCACATCAGTGCATATTTCAAGAAGCTGATTGTGTGCCTAACGTGCCCATCGAGACTTGGCATGCAGTGAAGTGGGGGGAGAGATGCAAAGACCAGGACCTACCCTCCTTTCCTTCCTCATACAGGTGTTTATTGAGCACCTACTATAAAGCAGATGCTCTCTTAGGTGCTGAGAACCAAGCCGTGAGCCAAGTAGACAAAAATCTCTGCTGCCATCGAGTCTAGTAAGGCAGACAAACGGTGAACAAGATAAAGAAGGCAAACGGAGCAGATGTTTGACTGGGGACCGGGGCCAAGGTGGGGGGGGGGAGCAGGGCAAGGGGGTTAAGTCCTCAGTGGGGATGCAGCCTTTGAGGAAAGACCTGAAAGAAGTGAGGGAGGGAACCATTTGGGTCTGTGGGGAAAGCTATTCCAGGAGAGAGGACAGCAGGTACAAAGGTCCTGCGGTGGAACGTGGCTGGTGTTTGGGGAACACGGAGGAGGGCCACTGTGGCTGCAGCTGGCAGAACGAGGGGAGATGGAAGGAGATGAGAGCGGGGAGGTGATGCGGGCAGGTCACGCGGGGTCTCACTGGCTACCGGCAGGACTGGCTCTTCTTCTGAGTGAGATGGGGGCCGTGGGAACGCTGTGAGTCCTTCCATGTCAGTTAAGCTGGAGTTTTCTTTGTTGCATGCTTGTCCCATCTCAGTGCTGCTGTTCTGTCATCAAGATCTTGGGTTTCTTACCAGCCCCCCTAGCCTGGGTGAGAGCGGAAGGCTGGTCCAGGACTCCTGAACTCTCCTCCTGGGGTCAGGAAGTGGAGGAGAAAGAGGAGTCCCCACCTCTTTGGGGATGACTCAGAACCACAGTTACCTTCCCCCCCCC